CTACTACCAGTCCTTCATCACCTTAGACGAAATAGGGTTAATACATCTCATTACACTGATTTACTGGTAGCCTCGAAACCCTGCTCAATTACATCTATATTTTAACTGGAAAAGTCTTGGCATCGTCTTATACGCCCAGCCGTCTTATACGCCGAAAAATACGGTACTTTGAGACTATTCTGTGCTCTGCATCAAGTCTACAGTCTAGTGTAATGCAGTCGATTGCTACAGAAACTACAAATTTGCTTCATCGATCATTGTACCATAGAGTATGATATGGGAAAAACTGCCTGGCCTTCCTTGACATTCACATCTGCCTTGTGTATCAATGATCGGTGGTTAATTTCTATAGATTGTGTGCTGCGCTATCACGCTTTGAGTCCCGCTGGAGGCGCTGATGAGACCAAGGCCAGGTCGAAAGTACAGCCCACTCAGGCTTGGATGAGAATAGCTTTTGGGAAGTAAGGCTATGCAAAATATAATAGAAACGTGGGGCCTATTCAGATCATTGTGTGATAGTTTGACTGCCACCCTTTCATCACTTTGAATGGAATAGAGTGAATTCAGCACTTATCTCATTCCATCAGATGTCCAGTCTCTGCCACGTGTTCTTTTACCTCTGATTCTCGAGCCCATCAGCCTCTACATGCGCATTTGTGCTCGGCCATCCTTTATCTCCACAACATGAAGGCGATCACATGAACACATTATTTTATAACAATCTGATCTGGACAATAGGCCAAATGTCTCTCTCAGAGTTTCCTTGAAAACCCTTTTTATTTCCCACTTCCTTGCTGATGAGAAAGCAGGAAGGCAGTCAGAACATAAGAACAGGTCTCTGTTTTATCATCTCATTCAAATGTTTCCGATTTAAGAAAACAACATTTATTAATCTGATGTTGTTTTCAAGTATTTCTATCCATCAAAGCTCATTGTCACAATAGTCTCTCTCGGCTAATCTTATACTCTAACGTATCACTGATTATGGGATACCAACCTTAACGTATGTAATTAGGGTTGAAGAAGACGTAACGACAAAGTCAACATGTGCGATCTTCCTAAAGATATCCATGCCAAACCTTTTTCCTCCCCCAAAAGCGAAAACCACAAAAAACTGTAAACAATTACCCTTCTCTCTTTCCGTTGCCAACTTAATACTACTATTCCGCTGGTAAGTAAGAAAGAAAGACACTCAAGCAAAGAGAATTAATTCAGTTAATTTGACGATTTTCTCACATAATTGGCCACTGAAAGTTTTCGTGTCCACGTCCACCTCGTCTCGCTCAGGGCAACAACCGGAGGCTGGAGTTCTCGCTTCGTTCCACATGGGCCTACACTCGGCCCAGCCTCGCGCAACTGCAGTTGCGACAGGCCAATCTCTCGCCACTGGGTCCCAGCAACCTGCGAATGGCGACACATGACCCGATCGGCAGGCAACTTCTGGAAACGCCAGTCTTTCGCGTCGGTACCGACGGCGTCCTCGAGACGCTGACTCGCCTCGACCGCGAGACAATCAGTTCATACCTGCTGAAAGTGGCGGTACGTGATATGGCCGGCAACAATCAGAGCCTGACAACGCACACTGTGATCCGAGTTGATGTGCTCGACGAGAACGACAACGCCCCCGAATGGACCTTCCCCACCATGACGGACCGACACATCAACGTGAGTGCAGCCATGCGGCCCGGAGACCTGGTCGTTCGGCTGCGCGCCTTCGACATGGACACCGACAAAGCGGCCTCCGTCGACTACCTGGTCCTGGGTCCCAGGGGCGAGCCGCTCACGCCGGTCTCGTTGGCCGACGGCCTGCCCAGCGCCATACCGGGCCTCGCGTCCGAGGCGTCTCCGATGACGACCGCATTGTCGGCCGGTTCCCAGACGCCCGGCAAACGGCCGTTCGGTCGCCCGGCGACTGGGCAAGACGAGCTGTTCGGCTTCCGCGCCGGACCGCTCTACTTGAACGGCAGCACCGGCGAGCTGTGGGTCGCCGACCTTCTGGTACCGGGCAATCTGAACATCCACCTGCGGGCCCGAGACGCCGGAGTGCCGCGACGCTACTCCGACACTTGGCTCACGGTGAACATCTTCGCGGATCCCAACGAAGGTGCCCTCTTCTGGTTCGGCGGAGCCGGCACTCTCAACGTCACCATCATTCTGGCCATGATCGCCGTCACCGCGGTCATCTCGCTGCTTCTCATTGTCGCCATTGTCTGTGTGCGTCGGAGGCCCCCGGCAACCGGTGTTGCTACGGTCGGATTGAACGGTCGCTATCCGAGTGGTCTGGCTGCCCAGTTGAATGGCGACTATTCTGCCAGTCTGTCGGCGATGGTGGCCGGCGGCGCGGCCACATGTGGCCCCGGAGCTGGGCTCGGTCACGGCCTCGACACGGCCGGCGGCAAGGAGGGTCTTGCGAACGCGCTGTGGACTCAGGGCGGATACGCCGGACAAGGCGGTCTCTATGGCCCTGCAGGGCCCGGAAGCACCCTGATCGACGAGACGGGCCAGATTCTGGGCGCCAGTCTGGCCAACGGACTGGCCGGCGGTACGTACGGAGTGATCGGCCTGGCTCCGGGCGGCGGACTGAGCTCCGCAATGGCGGGGGCCGGACCTGTGGCCGGGGATTCGGCCAGCATGATCTTCATGCCGGCAGCGCCTCCTGCGGCTGCGCTGGCCCAGGCCTCTTCGGGTCAGTCGGTGTCCGCATCTCCACTCGGTCTGATGATGGACGGGGCCGGGCTGAACCTGGTGACCGGGACGAGTGGAGCTGGGGGGGGCGAGACGGCGTCTGCTGTAGGACTCGATCTCAATGCCGGTCTGCAGATGCATACGTTTGGGGTAAGCTGAGCCTTAGCCAGGCGTGTGGATTGCATCATTTGACGGTGTACAGGGTCGCCAATGTTGGTTGACTGAATCGAAGCGGATGAGTCTGCAAGTTAAAAAGACTAGTCGACCAGGTGACGACCAGTAGACCGTTTTGCTAAGTTTTTTTCTTGTTGCCATGCTGGATTAGCCTCAAGCGTTCACGCAGGTTTTTCAACGCACTATTTTTTCGTTTTGTAAGTGGGTTTTCCAGACTACCAATAAGTCACTTTGCACAAAAAGGATATTTTGCACAATTTCTCCGCAACTAGAGACCGGGATCGGCATACAGCCATAAATAGATAGAGTTCGCTAGGTAGATAGATAAATGGATAGAGCTAGAGTATCATAGACTTCTAGATTTGTATACTAACATATGCACACATATGTATGTATATGAAGAGAGCAAGATCGGGAAGAAGTAGGCTTGCTCTATCTGATGGCCTATATGGTATGAAATGTTGGTGGACTGACCAATCTGGAATGAATCTTCGAGAAGGAAACACTTGGAGACAGGCTT